CAAAATAAAAAGAGAAAAACACAAAATCACTGAGTTTTTGTTCTTCCTTTATCCAGTGTACTTTGTTCTTTTTTGTTTGTTTGTACACACACACACACACACTCTCTCTCCAATACACTCCATTCTGGGTGATTTATAAGCGTTTTGAAAAGTGGGGACATGGGGTAATGTCCTGAAAAGTCACCTTCTCCTTGTAATACCTATGTTATACCTTTGTCATTATACAAATTTATGTCCTCATTTGTCACAAAAACGCACACACACACACACACACACACATATGTATATATATATATATATACATATACATTTTTGTGACGATATGTTAAACAAGTTATATCAAAATAGTGTATATTAATTATAATATTTATGCATAAGTGATTTAATATATAATATCCAAATATTACAAAATCAATATCAAAATATAAAATAAATATTTGTGTAATTTAATGTAAATTATTAAATCTAAATATTAAATTTCATCTATATTAAACAAGTTATATGTAAGCATTATAATTTGACATTTAAATATAACATCTAAATATGATAAATATATATTAAATAAATTGCATTTTATGTAATCTAAATTTTGCAATTCATATATTTTAAACTACTAAACTAATATTTATCTTGTTTTTTTGTGATATTGTCTACATATACATGTATATAAAATAAGTTATCAAAACATTAAATCAATGACAGTATATATAATTTATTTAATATGTAATATCTAAATATTTCCTCTGTTAAACAAGTTATAAGTATTGACATGTATTTAGATACAGCTTGTTTAATATCTAGATTTAATTACATTATATTACGTTATGGCAAATAAAAGGTATATCAAAAAATATAATATTTACCTGTTATATTTGAATATATTTGTATGTGTTGTAATGTCATTTTCAAAATAAAAGAAGAACGCGACAGCATCTTTGACTCTGCTTGTGCTGCCTCAAAGATTCGTGCAATTTTTAATGCTTTATCCAAAGTTAATCCTTCTTCTTGCAACAATTTATCACACAGCCGTTTGTCTGCACTCTTTTCTACTAGTTGATCTCTCAGCATATCGGACTCCAGAGCTCCAAACTCACATGTTTTGGCCAACTCTCTTAACGAATTTACGAACGCATCAACTGTCTCATCCGATGATTGAGCTCTCTGTCAAATTTATGACGTTCCATTACGACATTCCTCCGAGGAGTGAAGTACGCATCCAAAGCAACCACAGCCTGTTCATATGTATTTTTCTCACCTGGTAGATTGGCGAAAATCCGCTGTACTGGCGCTCCTATACAATGCAGCAATGTTGCTTTTTTCACCTTGTTCTCTGCTTCAGTTAATCCACTCGCTATTTCGAAGAAAGCGTAAGACTCTCTCCACATCTTATACTCCGTGTATAAATCCACAACTCCGAGGTTAAGTGGTCCAGGCGGCGTTAATTGTGCAGAGGCCATGACGACGTTTTTTCCGTTCCAATTTCTCTCAATTCCAAAGTCAGTCTAACGAGATTGCCCCCTTTTTTTTTTTCTTTTTTTTTTTATCCTCGTCGCCAAATTGTTGTAATGTCATTCTCAAAATAAAAGAACGTCTTAGTAGGTACTCTGTAACTCACTTTTTATTGAACCAAGTCCTACCTCTCATACATTCTCACGAGAACTCCTACAACTATACTACAGTATGTAATATTTTGGACATAAATTATATTAAGTCTTAAAAATAAAATGGACTACTTAGTTCAATGAATATCTAAATATAACATTAAACAAGTTATTTTAGGTTAATATCGTTTTTAGATTAAACTAAGTCATCAGATATTTAGACTATGAGCTGATCTAACATCATGTAGATTTGTGAATAGATGTATCAAGCAAGAAGAAGTTTTTCTTGTTTCCGGCTGGTTTTCTCATCTGATATGATTCGCTTGTTAATGTGTAACCGAGATATGGATCGAGCTCATATCAAACTGCATTGCTTATTTATTAAATGTGAGATTTAAACTGTTGTTATCTAGAGGTGTTGGTCACTCTGGAGGTTATCGCTGCTTGAGGTGTGTTTATCAGTCTGTCTGTAGGTGTGTGTTATTTCTCCACCCATCTGAGCTCCACCTTTAAGACACAGTAGACTTTGACCTCAGGAGAGGCTGCTGTTCCTCCGTCCATCACACTATGATCTAATGCAGAGAAACCGCAGAAGATCTCAAGACACGGCTGAGAAGCGTCTCCAAGAGCTCATCTGATCTCCTCGGTAAGTGTTTTCAGTCGTAAGGTGAACTTCAGGGGTTTGGATCTTCTCAAAGAGCTCAAACGGACGTTAATATCACATCTAAACCGCTTCTGCTTGGTTTCTGCTGTGATTATGACTGGTTTGATCTTCATCGAATGGCTAATCAGAACTCTTGGTGAATTTGTGATTGAATCTTTGAGGTTTTCTCATGTGCTTCTCTAGCTGTTATGTCCTGTTCCTGTGGATCGTGGTTTATGAGCTCATAAACATGGGCAGATTGTCAGCTACAGTAATTAACATGATCCATTATTGACTTTAAATGAGAACATGAAACACACAGGAGTCCTTGATTCCATACTTGCCAAGTATTACAATGCAAATACCATGGTATTCTTCAAGTGCTGTATCATTGGTATAAGTGCTACTGTATTGGTGTATTGATGATATTTAACAGTAGTACCATAAAAAATCTAGTTCCTGTACCATTTGTGTAGTATTTCAGACAATGCCATGGTACTTTTTTCTGTAAGATATGGTAATAGCGTGGTTTTGTTCTACCTTACACAACCAAATGTACCATGCTATTACCATAAAACGTTACCTAAGGTCCTCGGAAATGTCGTAATATTTTTGAAGTACCTTACAATGTTATGCAAGCACCTTAGTGAAGTTTTTTAAAAACATATTGTTTACCATACAGTACCATGTGAAATGCCATGGTATGTGAACAAAATTGTACCTAAAGGTACCATAGTACTTTACCATGACACAATGAGGCTTCACATGGTAATACTATGGTGTGCATGGTATTCAATGGTATTTCAGACAATACCATGGTATTTGTTTTGTAAGGGATGAGAATACCATGGTATTCTTATGTATGCGTGTATATAACTTAGTAAATATAATATTTAAATAGTATTTTAATGTATATAAAGTAATATTTAGCCCCAAGTTTTATATATATATATATATATACACATAATAAATATACACAGAACACACACATATTATGTAAACAAAAACTTTTATTTTGGATGTGATTAATCGTTTGACAGCACTAATAATATAACAGCATAGATATTTAGTAATATTACATTTTGTAATGTAATGTCTTTGTAATATTTAGATATAATTATCAAACTCTAATTAATAATTAAATAAATTGTTTATTGTTTTATATTCAATTATAATATTTATGTATAATTGATTTAATATTTAATGTTTAAATATCGGGCTACATTTTCATCTATAGTATTTTAAGTTAATGTAATATTTAGATATTTGTTTAATATATGATAAATGGACAATTAAATATATACTCACATGTACATAAGTATTCATTACATAATTTTGAACAGTTGTGTAATTGATTCAATGTAATATCAAAATAGTACTTTTCACCTGTAATTAACAAGTAATTTAATTTAATGTCATTTGTTTGATATATAATAAATGGACATTATATATAGTAAATGTGAAATATACATGAAGCGTGTGGATGTTGCGGTGTGTGTTGATGGTGTATTGTTGTGTTCAGGTGCTGTCCTCATGCTGCAGGGTTTGAGTCCATTCGGCTGGTCCAGCGGTTATCCTGAATCGCTTCGCTCCAGGTGAGAATGGGCTCTGATTGGTGTGTGTTACGACTCCTCACACTGTCTGACCCGTGTGCTTTCCCGCAGCGTCACGGCTCTGGACGACGCGTCCTCGGATCTGTCGGGTTTATCCAGACCCAGCGCTAAATCAATATACAGTGAGTACTGACCCTGAGACGAGCTGATCATTAACCCTCTCTCTCTGACTCAACCTTTACAGCCCTGAGCTATTTATAGACGTGCTATTGACCTCGCACTGCTGCTTGCTTAACTATTTCTGATACGGAAATACAGTGTCAGGAAAGGTTTTTAAAAAAAAAATTATTTTTTTTTATGTTTGTGTGTTTTTGATGTTAAATTTAAAAGTGTGTGAAATGTATGATGTTTATTTTCTGTTATTATGGGTTTGCGTTAGGTATCGTTATTTTGCGGTAGTCGGTGTTAATGTAGTTACATTTAACATATTACATAATTTAATTACTAAATAAATGTAATTGTAATCAGTTACAGTTACTGAGAAAATTATATTATTATATAGCCTCTAAATTATATTGCTTACTATGTTACTTACGAAAATGTTAACGATTACAAAGGGGGTTACATCTGATTATTAGGAGTTCAGGACACAGAATAGGACACATGCTTATTCGATAACTGATTTATTTCCTATTTGGGTTTGTGTGTATGCTTAATTTTTTAAGATTAACTGTTTTTTTTCTATGGCATTGTTAGATGCCAGTGTTTCCTGTCATACCTATGCAAAGATTTGATTTCAAAAACAGTATTTTTGTTATGATTTTAAATCTGTATTTAACCTCAGAATGATCTCAAAGTAAAAGAGGTGCTAAAGTCTGAATTTGTGGTGGCTGTGCTCTAAAATGAAATTATTACGATCTTCGTTAAAGTAAGAAATGATTTTAAGAAATCTGACAGTAATGAGTGTTGCGTACTACTGTAAGGTTAACCATGCCTGCTTTAAATGTTTCAAAATGATTAACAGTTGAAAACATTAGAAATTTAGAAAAGTAATCAAAAAGTAAAAATGCAATCGGTTACATTAATAAAGTAATTGAAATAGTTACAATACTCATTACATTTTAGATAGGGTAACTTGTAATCTGTAACCTATTACATTTCCAAAGTAACCTTCCCAACACTGGTGTTTGGCGAAGCATCATT